AGCCTTGAGCATGTTCTGGTGCAGGGCTTTTTTAATTTCACTGATAACTTTGTCGTTGTTGACGATTGTTGGATCAACTCGAGCGATGACGCAAGCGAGATTTGGAATACCACAAACCATCAGATAAGAGTCTTCCTCTGGAGCTATAGTGACAGCACCGATCCTGTTCAAGGCCATATGGAACAGAACAAACTCCACGCATGGTGGCAGGAGCACAAGAACTCTATCTCCTCGTCCAACTCCTATCTCAAGTAACCCAGCAGCGAGGTAACTGGACCTGGTGTCGTATTCCTGGAATGTTATGGAAACTCTGTTGAGTTTCTCATTTCGGAAAACAAGGGCTTCCTTACTTGGATGCTGTTTGGCATGTGTTTTCAGGATTTGGAAAGCAGTCCTGTGTTCAAGAGGTCTGTCATGAGGGATGTGAATGTAGCTCATCTTTCTGAAAGAAGAAGAATACATATTCAATATCTGGTTCATGTTTGTAATGGTACCACTGGCGAGGAACAACGCGTTAGATTCTAGCTAGAGGCATGACGCATTTGAATGAAATCAAATTCATTGTTGAAGAGTGTTATCAACATGTAAAAAGAATGAGCCGAGTTGTGGGGGATTTCCCAATGTAGCTCATTTTGTCATTACATCATTGAAAACGAATTAGAGACACCTTTGCAAATTACAAGAACACTTCCTTCATGGTGGTATATAGATAAATGCAGTTTTATTGATCGCGATTTCATTTCAAGCATGAGGGTCTCAATGGGGTGGTACGCATCACGACGCACGGCTAAAAATTTGGCGATTTCACGACTCACGACTAATTTTTTCGATTCACGGTTAATTAGATTACTTTTAGATTATTGAGAACATATTAGTGACATTGCTGCAGTCCGTGTCTGACATCGGAGTTTACGAAATTTCATCAAGTGTCGCTTTTCGCTATGATGTATTCTATGCCGGGCTATGTGCATGGTAAAATCAGGAAGTTTGTAGCGTATTCATATTATTATTTGACCCTAAACAAAATTATATAGTATTTTAAAATCGATATCTTATATAATTACTTTAAAATGTCAGATATATGCCATGTCCGTACGAATAGCAAACATAATTCGGACACTCAGTTTAAATATTGTTCTCGGTTGCGCAATCGCCGCACTGTGAAAAATTATACGTTTAATGAAAGCGCGCTTTAAAATATCATATTACAGAAAATATATAGAAGTAATTACTAAATGATTCTGCAGATTTTGTAAATAAACATTAATGCATAGGAAGCTAATTCAAAGACAACAACAAAAAGCAAAACAAAACAAAAAAAGAAATATGAAAAAAGAAAAAAAAACTTGAGTATTGGGATTCGAACCCATGACCATAAAATCGAAAAAAGGTTGGGACGATTCCCCCGAGACATTCTGTGAAGCTGAGGCRGCGAATCGATTTACATTCCGGTTAGAGATTTCGGCTCTTCCATGCTATCCCGATAATTGACCCTAACTTCGCGCTAACTAAAAAGCCAGTGAGGGAGAAGCTATCCGGCCCCTAGACACTGATGGATAACCCCGTGCACTAACTAGGCAACTATCGAAAGAATAATGTCAAATTGGGGCAGTCTATTCGGTGAAAGTGCCAAGTGGTCTATTATTATGCAAATGAGAGTGATCCAGTGGCGCACCGCGTTAAGGCGCCTCTTGCAAATCCAGTGTAGGTTTGACGGTAGCGGGATCGATTCMCTGGAGGAGACGTTTAATGATTTTGTTTTTTCCTTTTTATTTTATTTATTGTTGATCTTTTTTCTATTTATTTATTTACTTTCCCGAGAACCATCTTTTTTTTACGAAGTGGATATATGATCGGCTCCCGCTCAAAGTCTTCGACGTACTAACATACTATGAGTGCTAGTTTTGTTTTGGCAAAAAAAAATCTTTTATATCTTTACTAGCAATCTAAAAAAAAGATGTCAATTCATATTATAACGTTCTATTTCGAGCAGCTTTAGCTTCTTGTCGCACTTAGCGTGACGAAGGCTCCCGCTCAATTAAGGTCGTCGATGCACTAAATGAGCTACTCTGCGAATAGAGCATTTACAAAAAAAATTACAAAAAAAAAATTACAAGCGCGCGCCTGCATCGGAGTTGACTGTCCTTCTGAGGGACAAAACTGAATCACGGCTCACGCTATAAAAAAATATTCACGCCTCACGGCTAATTTTTTCGCATTTTCACGACTAACGGCTAATTTTTCAGCCGTTTCACGGCTCACGGTTAACCCCATTGAGACCCTCAGTTTCCGCGGGCAACTACTAAAAACTATTACTAATTACCCCCTATAAGCTCCCAATAGTTTAACTTATGACATGCGACAAACTAATTAGGCAAACACGGTTTCAATTTTGCCTTTTGGTAGCCTACTACATCCTAATAGTTACTATTAAACACTGACTAGTAGTAATTGTTTCACAGACGGTTGAAAATGTCTCTACCACGGCATAGTGCACTCGATTCAGCTACTCCCCATTTTCCATATTATTCTACATTGGATAATATCAAGTAGATTTGATATCTTATTATTTTTTTAAGCTATTGAGTATTGGACTCCCTCAAAGAGCTCAGCTCTGTATCTTTTGGCTTTGTGAGCAGAAATCAGTGTGGTTCTCCAAAGAAAAAAGGAACGACTTGTCCTAAGACTGAGCCTTCCTTCATGGCCTTGCCATAAAAAGATTTAACTGAGGTAAGAGTTAAAGACGTATCCATACCTGATCTTTGTGCTATTATGAGAGCTGGCTGGTTCCAAGTACCGATTGGTACATGAGGTCAGGTCCAATGCTACTCGAATGAGGAGTACCATAGCATGCGTTACATCCGGACTGGTTGACCCGGAAAAGCTCATGGTCTAGGGAAGTAACAAGTTATTTAGGATAAGATAATAGCATTATTTTGTGACCCAGGAATCACATTCTGATTATTTTTAAATATCAGGCGGGGATTAGGATTTTAGCTTCACTTAGTCAGGATCCTAAACCAAAAAGTTGTATTCATTACAATAAAGCACTTGTGTTGAAGAGTGTGACTATGAGGGATGTAAAATGAAATCATGAGTTCTGCAATAGCCAGATCAACGTCCATGAACATGTGTACCATGTGTACCTATGTATGGTGTGTGACACACAGTTTTCTTATAGAGCGGATTTCGTATGAGTGGGACACCGTTACCGCACGGTTACCGCACAGTTACCGAACCTGGCCTGCACAATTTTGGTGAATCAATGGGGCACTAGAATTTGGTTACAGTACGATTACGGTCACAGTACAGTACCGTCCGTTTCCCACTCATACGAAATCCGCTCTAGTTTTCCTCCGATACTAACTGACCCTGTGAAACCGATTCTTACAAAAGCCGGAATTGAATTGAAAACAATAGAAAACAAGAACGGGGTCCGTGAATGTCAACCAGAAGTTAAGATGGCTTATATCTAGGGATTCCATTCAGCTGACTTCAAGATACAATGCTTGTCTGTAGAAAAAGAACATTTTCTTTCAATTCCTAAGAAGTTACTTCCGGTAGGGCCATGACATGCGAGAAGCATTCACTGTAAGTTTTATATATTACACAAATCAACTTTTCTTTAAAAAAATGAACAATATCATAACAAAAACSTATCTTCTTTGAGAATTGTGGTTCCGTCGGGAATTAAATTCCCAGAGTTCCATGCCCGAGAGATAAGTATTGTCACGCAATTGAGCTGAAATTACGGACTACCTCCCCCTAAGTTTTTTTAACTTTTCTTTTCAAACGTCTCAATAAAATCAATTTCAATTAGTTTGTCTTTGAAAATTATATAACTATCCTAATGTTGCAGAGTATAAAAAGTTTCTAACTGATCAGTGTCTTCCATCTTTGAATATTTAGACAAAACATAAAAATACATAAATATATAAATGTACATCTCACGGGGGGAGGGGTTAAATGATTTCGATTCKACCAGTATTTGTGTTCGGCATGAATCTCATTGAAACGCGATCGTCAGAAAATGTAAATTTGTGGCAGTAATTTCTACCAAATAGCTCTGGACGTCAACTATACKGTAAGTTTAGAATATTTCTATAATTTTAAGAGTAATAGCTCCTCAAAATTAGTTTTTTTTGCACAATTCTATCCAGCCTTAAGCTTATGACACGAAGCTGAAGTTTCACAAAAAAACGCTTTTTGTTTTGGCATATTGTTCAAAATTTCACTATTATAAGTTGTTCAATATAAAAACTATCACAATATAATCGACATTTTGTGACAATTTTTGTAGCACAGACATAAATGTCGCTAAATGTATGTTTTAGCTTTTAGCTTGCTTGGCGACCATTTTGAAAATGAGTTGGCTTGTGCGAATTGAAAGCTTATCGATCATCGTTCATTTCCCMAAGGCAGATTGAATATAATTTTTTACCAATTGCCACACTAATATAACGCTAAATAAATTGTGAATAAAGTAACTTAATAGAAACGTTTAATATGTCATCATGTTTGAAGATGAGAATAATATATTCAAAGTGCCTAGTAAACAAATAAGAAAGCTAAGTCAAACACGTCAAACTGATGATAAACTAGTCGTGACTCCAAGAAAACGAATATTAATCCATAGCTCAATTCTAGCTTTAATTCTTTCTATATAAAAGCGTTTGATATATGCAGGTGTTCTCTAATATTCTGCACCAATTATGAGATTAATTACACACTTTGTTCCCTAATATGGAACTTTTGTGCTACCCACACTTGAAAGTACAAAACAAAACTATTTGAAAACTTTATGTCATATGCACTGTCTCCTTTTGATTGGCTTTATGGCAGATAGACAGTGGCCAGCTTTGAAATGAATAGCACATATTGTACAAACGGTATCCAGTATGACACAGGGTATTCAATTTTACATGCAGCTTATATTTGTAAATGATTGTAAGTAAAATCACTTAAAAACATGAAAAATGGGACTTTCATTGTGAATGAATTGACAGCTTTATAAAAACATTATCTAAACTTTTAAGCTACTAATCATGTTTTATAATTAAAGCATTTTATTTTACAGTGTTTTGGTTGACTTGTCACAATGATTTATTGGTTCATTGAACATGTATACAAAATGGTTATGRAAATGTGTGTTTGACATGAATTCAGTTTAGTAGAGGCACATATTTATATACCCATGAAATAATCAAATCTATAAGATCTAAACACTAAACACAACATGATTCAGCTGTGCAAAGGATGTTGTAGTTATTCCCTCCATAGATGCTAATTCATCCTTTGTAAAACAGCACTGTTCCCTGATGGATAATTACATAATGCATGTTGCATGCATTTTCAAAGTCACCTTGAAACATAGCCTTGCCTTTGCACACACTTGGCAAGAAGATAAATAGTTCACCTTCCATCTGACTTGCTGCCAAGGCATTGCTATCTTATTAGATAGCTTTAGATATTACAAAAACAGTGTAACATTTACATTTGCTTCTATCTCACAGTTTCAAAAAGACTGTTTCAATAAGTGTTCAATTTTTTTTAGGTTATGACTTGGTGGTCAATCCACATGAATTTTGGGCATGACGAGCATAAAACCATTTAACACATCACATGGAAAGACAACCACAAACATCATTAATAAACCAATCAGAAAACAGCATGGGAGATAGCGAGGAAGGTGATATAACTGAAGTTCGAATACAAATAGACAAGGAAACTTCAATTAGACAACTAGAAATGGATCAAGCCAGCAAAATTTCACCTAACAAAATCACTGCCGATGAAAGTGCAAATGGGGATTCATCTCAACCTAAGGGTATTGTGATGGTTGATGCTGATGAAGAGAATGATGATGATGACGAGGAAGATTTTGATGACTGCATTGATATTCGAGACAATGCTAACGATGAAGATCAGTTTGCCTTTGAAGACAATAATGGTGTCAATGGTGTACCTCGTAATACTAGTGAGAATTTTCCAGGAAATAGCTTGACTGTTGAGATTGGTGAAGATAATAATGATGCACAAGTTGATGCTGATGATGCTGGTGAGGAAAATGGTGAACATGAAGAAGAGGGTGCAGCTGCAGCCAATAGGGTTACTTTTGCTGATGAAGATCAATTGTCTGATTGTCATTATGACCACCACCATATTGAAGACCATTTCCAGAGAACACACAGTGAGTCATATGAGGATGACGAAGACTATCAACACGGAGAGAAGTCGCTTGATGTTTTGCTGCTGGAGGAGATATGTGAAGAGGCAGCCAGCATGACCATCAAAGAAGCACTCATTCACTCACTGAAGCCCAACGTACGCGCAGGACTAGCAACTGCACATCTTAGGTTATCAGAATCTGAAATTCTTAACTTAGAGGGGTACTGTGAGGACTTTGTGGGAGGACTTATCAAAGATCTATTAAGGAGAACATCTATATTGCAAAATGATAAAGATGAAGCACAAAACAATGCCAATCAGACAACAGTTCAAGCAACAACCATCAAAATCACAGCAAAACAGCTGAGTGCAATGGACTTAAAACAATTGAAAGTCTACTGTGATCATTTTGTTCACAATGTCATAGCAGAATCAATCATAGATTCAAGCATGATTGTTGCTAAACAACAAGACCAAGCTGACCAAGTCAAAGATATTTTGCACGTTTTTCAGGAATCTGATGAACTCCAAGAGTATTTTACTAGTCTTACAACTGACATTGTGCGAACAGCCTTAATTAATGTTGTCAGTAAAGAGCATTTAGAAGAAGCCATACAATCAGAGGAAACAGATCCCCTGGAAAGTGAGTTTGACACTTTGCAGTCATCAGAACACACAAGTCTTTCAGGTGAATTTGAGAGTCATGGTGAAGAAGGATTTGATTTTGATGATAACCACAGCTTCAGCTTCCCTGATAGCCAAGTACAACAAAAACATCAGGAACCCAGTCCAAGAGAGGTCTACAACACAGAGAGTTCACAGAAGAGCAGATCAAAACGTCGAAAATTACCTCAACAGCCTGGTGACACTCCACTAGAGTTTGATATGGACTGGGTTGAGGGTGCTTTACATGATATTGGGGTTACTGAAGGAGGTAAATGTCTGTAAAAGTTTGGACGTTTTTTCTTTTTTCTGTCTAAACCATCTATGGTGAATAGTTTTCCTCACTGTTCCCTGCTCCATCTTGAAAGGTAAAACTGCCTTTCCATCTAACAATACGTTGAGCTCTCAATGATACATACTTGCGAATCACAGTCTGTAGGTGTGAAAGAAAGTGTCTATCATTGCACGCTCAACAGGCTACCTTCAAGGTGCAAGGAATGGATGCAAGGATCTAGAAGATAAAGACCCTTTTAAACAAGATGACACAACAATGATTTATCTCTTTGATATTTAAAGGAGGTTTTTAATAGTTTATTCCAAATACCCTCAATGCATGCACATGATGCCAGGGAAGCTTAGTTGAGGTATAATACAAAAGACTTGTAGGAGCTAAAAATCATTGTTTCCAAGTAAACTTTTCCCGTGAGCTGAGCTTCAATTTTACATGACATATTGAAATGCAGCTCTAACATTAGGTCTCATCATGTCTCACAATTTCTAGATCGTCGTCACAAAATCGTCATGAAAGAACTGGATTTTGATGACAGAGTCAATGCTAGAGGAAACGAAGTGCTTGCCCCAGTTTTTCTCGCAATTGCCGAGGAAAATGAAGACGACAATGATTTTCAGGGCATGCGCAGAAAGACCCAGTCGATCGAAGATCTTTGTGGTCTTATAGAGGAAGATCACGGTGAGAAGTGAAACAATGGATGGATTTAGAGATGATGGATTTATAGATGTGAATAAATGAAAGGGAAAAGAAATGATCGAAAGAAAAAATGAGTTATTGAATGAGTGAACGTATGGAATCATGGATGAACAAAGGATAAGATGTCCTGATTTAATAATAATAAAAAAAATGAATGGAAGATTAAACAAATAAAAAATGAATAAAAGATGATGAAAGAAGAAATTAATGGATCTGGAAATAATGGCATATGATTGATCTTTTCGTAATTAACTGTTCTTATTTTCCGTTTACCATTTCTTGTTATCAAAAAAAATATTTAGAACCACCTCGAAAGAGATCCAGCAGCCTGAACCAAGCAAAACCCAAACGGAAGCACCATCCCAAGCAACCACCGCCTTCATTTAAGGAATATATACAAAATGACGTTAAATCGGCCTTGCAAGACGATTTAAAACCTGCTATACAGGAAGACCTTGAAGAACGTAAATATGCATAGATCTTTTCACAAATACAATATTTGATTGATACAAAATTTCTACCACCAGTCAGTAGAATCATATATCCTCTTACCTCATTTTTTTCATTCAGTCTTTTGCTTTATGTTTCCTTATTTTCACAATAACTGTGAGAATATTCACTATAGAATCCAAGGTCCCTTCCATGTCCCTGCCATAGTTCCCACTTCCATACTTAGCGTCCAGCCCACATCACCGTCGCTTGTATACTGATCTTTCTTATTGGAGTATCCATTCTCTAAGCAGCACACCAAACAAACTAAATTAACAGTTTGATATATGGCTGCTGGAAGTGGGACAGCTGTGAGAGACGAGCATTCAAACTCTCTTACTCTCAATGGAAGACCAAAAACGTGTTGTGTTACTAAAGTTACATTTTCAAACTGCATCAGGTCCTCCTAGTCCAGACGAGAATGTTGCGGTCCAAGCAGAGTTAGAGCGTCAACAGCCAAAGTCTTTAGAAGTAACCAAGACGATTCAAGACAAAGTTTATCATGCTTACGACGATGAGCAATTCCGCTGGCACACAATTCGTGTCAACAATCGAGAAAAAGTTCTTGATTTGCGATTGATAGAACCGTACATGAAAGTCATTACACATGGAGGTGAGAGAACCATGATAACTGTGTTGGTAATGATGAAAACGATGCAAACAAGAACGTGCGCAAAAAAATATCGATTAAAATCGTTTTAAATTGTGCTGATTTCGATTTTTCTTTTGATAACAATTTACCACTAAATTTTGCAAACTATAATTTTTGTCCATTGGTCAGAACTGGCTGACCAGACCCATAGAAAATGTCATCATATATTATTCCTGTTCAGTTAAACTATTCTTGCCGGCCAGTTCTGCCTAATTGGAAAGCGCCCTAGGATCCCCTTCCAGTCGAGTTGTTGCGCTCTGACTTGCCTCCTATAAGTTATTACAAGGGAGAACGCAGCAGATGAAACTCCACATACTCACATACTCAACTTACCTCGCTTAGTGCCTCTAACACCACAGGAATGGTTTATCTACATTTTAAAGAGCAGTTGAAAATAATGTTAAAAAACATAAAGTAAAATAGCAGCGAGCCACCTTTTGCAATCAGGAATAAGCCATACTTACAGGCATGTGTTGCTGTAGGAGTGCATATACCATCGAGGGCTGTCATTGTGGTCGTGGCGGCTTGCTACCTTCCTGACAAGTCAAAAAGAAATTATGATTTTCTGATGGAGCAGCTATTTTTGTAAGTTATATTGGAATTTGCATTTACCCTTTTCCAGACATGAACCCCCATGTTAAAATTCTGGATTCGGACCCTGAAGAGCATGAAAATTGCCTTTTTTTAGCCATCTTATACAGTAACCTTTCTTGTTTTTTCTTCTTTCGTGACATCCGTTGTTTGTTTTATTGTTTTTGTTGTTTTTTTCTCAGTTACCTCATAAGTACACTAGAACTGCTTGCCACCGCAGACGAGTATTTCTTGGTTTATCTCAATGGAGGAACTACTCAGGCGAACATGCCAGCCTTGCCCTGGATGAAACGCTTTTACCAACACATTGAAGGAGGGTGAGACCAACAGAAATTTTGTAATAGAAAATTTTAACTCAACCATTTGATTAGTATCGAGGTTACGTCCATGATTTTTATTCAGCGATTAGCTTTTGGTCCTTTCATTGGTCCTTTCTTCACCGATATGAACATGACGAACCGAGCGAAACTTGATCAATTATAATTTTGATTCTCTGGAACGCTAGTTAGAAAAAAAAAAACATTTTATCTGCGTTGTCTTCCCTGCTTTCTTCTTGACCCCATTCACTTGCCTTTAGAACTATACTTCTGTTTCTCTTGCTTTTTGTTTTTTACTGTGTGGTTGTCTTTTTTTTTAATGTCTTTTTCATCTAAACGCTCTTCCATCATATCTTTTATCTTTTTTTTAGATTGAAGCAGCAAATGATAAAAATGTTTATCGTTCATCCAAACTTCTGGCTCAAGACAGTTGTAAGATTCGCTAGGGCGTTTGTTGGGTGAGTGCATTTCCTGTTTTCTTGGGAGAGCAATCTTCCACAAGAGAAGTGAAGTATGAAAAAAAACGAGACGAAACAAAAGAAAACAAGCAAGAAAAACACGATGTAAAACACGATGTAATCGAAATGCCAAAATAAAATAACTTTGCAGAAGTCTGGGAACTTTATAGGTATTGTTTCATATGACAAAAATGGGAGATATTAGCTTAGTTTTGGCATAAAAGGACCTCAGTAGCTTGATACCATTCTGTTCTTTCAAAAGGACGACTTTTTGGAGCAAGTTGGAATTTATGAAATCTCTCGATGATCTTTCCAAGCACATTCCCACGGAATTCATGTACATCCCAGACGAAGTAATCAGGTACGTTGTAGTAATAACAAATATCCATGTGGTCCAATATTCCTGCCCTGTGTTTTATACAGCTATTTCAAAAAACGTTGTCGGGGAGAACGGTGAACGGCGATTGTCGAAGGGAGATTGCACGACCGAAAGGGACTATGGTTACATTGTTTTGATATACAGAATTTCACTTATTGGATTCACCTTACATAGAAATGGAGACTTAATGGATCCAATGTTTACCATAGACCATCTTACAGTACAAATCAGTTGTTATTGCCTTTCAACTAGCAAAACCCATGGCTACTTTCGGTCGTGCAATCACCGTTCGACCATTGACAATCGCCATTTTACCCGACAACCTTTTTTGAAATAGCTATATTTCTTAGCGTCACAATGTAAATTGAATGAGGTGTATTAAGAATTATACAAAGTACAAACCTTTCGTTGATCAGACTTTTTTTCGTTGCAGATGTGATCCAAAGTATAAGCGTCTTCACAACCTTTGACTTGGCAGTAGTCAGTGGGCTTGTCTGAACAGTTACAGACGATGATCGATTTTTTTTGATATGTTTTCATCGCGGAAGAGCGTTTCTTCTCCCGCTTTACTGATCATAAAGTAACCTTTTGATTAAAATATCAAAATCTTCCAGACGAGTAACTCCAGATATATATTTATATATATTTAAAAGGATAAAATGTTAATTTTCGAAGTTTATCAATTAACTACAGCGAGTACAAAATCTATTTAAAATGCGCTAGTCTACAAATGTTTAAAAGCGCTCTAAAATAACATATTTATTTTCAATTGTAACTTAAGTTAATATTTTGTTTTTGTTTACTGGTTTCGCAATGTTGATTACCTTCGTAAATGCTACGCCTGTATAACGGACCATTTTCAACCGGCATTCAATGCGGTCTTGTTTTAGATTTTTCATACATGGAAAAAATGGTGATCTATTCACACTCCGTTTCCATCCGTCGGTTTTATAATCGAATCTTACAAGATCTCCGTCCATGGAGCATAAACAGTATAGTATCTTTTTGCTTATGTTCCGATATATAAACATAAACAAAAGATCGTAAGGGATGCCTGTTGGCCGTGGCGTTTTAAGTCATGTGACCATACGCACGTGACTTTTAAAAAAGTTATTTATTAGGGACGCCACGTAATTAATTGATATATTTATAATGTTGTAGGTTTGTTAGGATCGGTAGATTTTAATAAATTGGAAGGTTATGGATGGTAACTTGTGAATTATTATTTCTGAACTTGTACATTTGCAACATTCTGGCACTAGATCTTCGCGGTTCTACGCCGCACAGAATGGGTCTATGCGCTCACAACATTCGCTGAACGCAAAGTATGCATTAAGCTATGGTGCCAAATAATCCGTTTCCCAAGACCATAAGCAATCGGCGTTTTCACCCACGCGCCCTCATTATCAAAAGCGTGTTAGTTATTACTATTTTAATCCTTATTTTATATTATCATATTCTAAAATGACAGAACACCGTCAATATTACTGTGTTCCTACTTCATTATTTTCTTTCATTTCTGTATTTCTCATTATTTTTTCTTCTTCTCGTTTCCTTCTTTCGTTGTCTTCCATCTCTTGTTCAAGATGAAGCTGTTTTCTCCACTGGTCCTCGATAACAGCCATCAACTGTGAGTTCATGCGATGGCTGTAGCCCGGCGGGGGTTCATACGCAGCTGTTGCAAGTAGAATCTCTTGTCTGTTGACGTAAAAGGTATGACGTCACGTCAAAACGCTAAGGATTATGGTCGCCAGACGAAAAATGATGGTAATACATGGAAAAACGATGAATGACGACAAAAGCTAACAAATATGTGCCAGTCAGTCATCATTAAGACTACTAGAAAATCTGAAGTTCAACCGAAGAGAAAGCAGATCCAGTACAAATTCTGTAGACTATAACATGCTGTGGTGTCGTAGTGAAATATGTCAGTTGTGTGTATAGAAGGCGCGGCCCTCTGGTTGCTTGAAGGGGCGAAATTATGGTATGAGGAAACCATGAAACGCAAATTGCAAGACAGCGCAAATCGTTAGTTAAGATTGCTAAGTTTCATACATAATACCTTTCACAGTCAAGACCAAAAACGATTACCCAAAATTCTCACCTCAATGAAGGTCGCGTCTGCTCAATTTGAACACGTTTCGTAGAATGTCGTGTCAACTTACTGACGCGTGGTTTTGACGTCACATCCTGTACCGTTACAATGGGCGGTAACCTGGGGAGTAGCTCGGCCGATAGAGACTTCGCTATGTGCGTCTGTAATGTAACAATGAGAGGACTTTGTGGACTGGTTATGTTATCTAAGGTAGCTTCGATCTGAAACAACGACAAAGAAATATCCATTATAATAAATATGAAAGTACTTTGATTTAGTATTTTCGAAATCTTTTAGAATTGTGAAAGTTTTAAACGAAAGCAAATATTCCCATGCATTAATTTATTAATTATATTTTTTTCAACAAATTTGATTCCATTAAGATGAAAGAAAGAAATCAAGATAGATGTAAATCACAATTATTCCCTATGCCATTGAGCTCCAAGGTTTATGACAATCTCGGACCTTCGCGGAGCGATATCGGGTAGTTGCGTTATAACTAACCTTTGCTAATTTTAAGGCTTCCAATACCCTTGTATCTCTTTCTATGGAATGATGACGCATTAGTAGATTCCAGGCCACCCCACGCATACCATCTTTAGTCGAATCACCGCTGCCCAATCGACTGACACGCATTAGACCCTGCATGGCTGAAAATCGTACCCTCCAACTCCAATCTCTAGCAGTGTTTTCTATAACAATATATTTAATTGTTATGCTATTCTCTAAATCCAAGGGGGATTCATACGAGGCAATTTCTCGTTCCCAGGTCCTTATTCCGCCTGACACCAAATGGGGGGATAAGGCCAAGGAACGAGAGATTGAGACTGAGAGTAAGAAGAAAGACAGGAAACGTGATTACTTAGTTTTACCTTTACTGGTAGGCAGCTCAAACTTCAGTAAATCAGCAAGTCCTATCCCGTTAGCCAAGACCTCAGTTTTCTTAGAAAAAATGCGCGCTTTCTTGTAAGCCTCGTTACCAAGCAACGCCACTTTTTGAATTACTGCAGAGTTACCATGGAGACATATTGACGTCATAGCTTCTGCATAAAGGTAAGCTAGTTCCCAGGGCCATCCGTGCATTCCTGGTAAGTCGCTTAGTACAGAAGTTGGAGTTTTCGTTGTAGTTGTTCGTTCTGAAAATAAAACAAAGCTATTTCAGGTTGATATCATCATCAGAGGGATCCCAAAGCAAAGCGTACCTTCATCTGGTAAAGGGATTGTGACTGTACTACCACGAGTCTGTCCACTAAGAAGACTTCCCCTAGTGTGCTCTCGCTCTAGATTCTCTCGTTGTATATGAGACCACGACTGCTCACCCACTCCCCCATCGTCAGCTGTTGATTCGTCAGTTTGAAAACGCACTCCAGTGCCCAGTCTCTTTTTCCTGGAATCATTTTGATTGACACTATCAATCTTTGGTTTTGAAGTAAAAAGCTCATCTTCGTCGGAAGAACTTTGGTCACCAATGTCATGTCCTTTGTGAGCCATTCTATGTTTACTGGATACGCGCAATTTACTGCTTTTCCTGCGTGTGATGTAATCACTTTCAACGCTACTGACGTCCGCAAAACTGGCTTCAGAAGAAGTCTCTTGTTTGTCATCACGTGATCTGTCAATCAAATTAAAGTATAAGAAATTATAACCAACGCAACAATAGTATATATCATATATTATTTTGATTGGTCCTAGACTTGATGCGAAAGCGTTGTCTAGTATTAAATTGTAAATAAATTGTAAATTGTAAATTCCCTTTTTGGTCACCTGCAATTTTTGGTGTGCATAGTCAATCAAGAGGAGCTATTACCGTTAATTGTGCTGTTAAAACAGTGCTAAATCCCTGACTGTAATGTTAATTCCCAGGCCCTCCCCGGGGCTTGGGGATCGGGATTTCAATTTACTGATGCATAACAACTAGGAATTTGGAAGAAAATCAAAACATTTTTACAGCAATAGTGCAGCTAGTCAGTCTCCCTCAAATACCATGGGCACCTTAAATAATTTAGAGCACGTTTTCTAAGCTCAGTTACCCGATCAGAAGACTTTTCTCCCGTACATACCTTAAACTTTCTGTGTCATTTGTATCAGACAAGTCACAGTTCTCATCTTTGAATCCAAGTCTTGCAAACTCCCGCAATCCTTTCACAAAACTGGGTGTCGGTCCAACTGACAAGAAATCAGATCCAGATGGTATCCCATCATCCTCTTGGCTAGCTGTCACATGTGTGGTCTCACCAACATAGGTCGAGTGGCATTCATTGCAGAGATGAAGATGCTGAGCATGTGCTTCTGCAATGGAGATTGGTTTGGGGAAGATTCCTGCTGCTAATGCCTGGAATGTCTGAAGTACACCAAGACTACTCGTAGCAGCATCAGCAAGTGCTAGAAATGCACATGAAACGTCCAACCATGACTCACTTGGCAAGCCTGTTGCACATACTGACAGCCCATGAAGAGCTTGCTGGAACCCTATTCCTTTATGGTTAGTTGAGCGCCATACATCCAGGGCATGCCAAAGGGTTGCTGTTGTCTCGTGGATGCTCTCAGCTGTTGTGAGACTGTGTATTGGAGTTGGGGAATAACTGGGTTCTATAACTTCCTATAATGATATCATTATACAGTTTTGAATTGACAACTATTAGTAATGCTTTATTATTCTACTGTAGGGACATGTAATGCTGTACCTCTTCAGTAATTTTTTCCATTCCAAAATACTTTTGAGATTTGGCTTTGCCACCCTCTGCTGTGTCATCTGCTTGTTCATGTGAATCATCCCCCTCCTGGATTGACAGCTCAAGCTGTTCATTGGCTTGGTCTTTTTGAGATTTGATGGGGGAGGCCTGAACACCCTTGCATATCATATAACCCTAAAAACATAAATAGTAAGTTAAAAACAAATACTGATGATGACCCAATGATGATGAAAGATGAATGATGATGTCATCACACAGGGACCCCAAACCACGTGCTTTATATTATATACCTAATGAACCTACCACTTCAGTAATAAATCTCAAAGAAACCAATGCACCAGGAAAGTATCTATAGACATACTGTTGCTCTGAAATTCCTGCCAAATAAATGAATAATTAATTAATCATTATTCATTATTATTCATTATCATGAAACACAGGTATATATATATATACATGTAACCTGAAGACAACAAAATGTAATTTAGCTCCATGGGCAATTAGTAACTTTACCTGACAAGTAGCTCAATAAAGCCTGCTTATCTTTTGTATAATCCTATAGAAAATCATTGATAAATTAACTTTAATTTATCATTGTAAAGTAAGAAATTTATTAATCTACAAAGTGTTATTAATTATATTCTTTATTTTCTATATTTCTTTACTTTTTTTATTAATTTTTTATTAACTTTATTTTCAAGAAGTATATACCTGTTGCAACTGACTTAGGAGATAAAAATGGTAAAGTCTCAAAAACACAAGATGTCCTATCTGAAACAAACAATCAAAAACTCAATAACAGCCAATAATTAGATCCAAAATGATGTAATTTAGGGATCTGACTGAATGTCAGAACTGCAAGGCACTTAATTTAAACTCACCTTTGTCAACTTGATTTCACCAGTCCTCAGAAAAGGTTGGTTTAAACCAGACCGTTTAAGCCAGTGTAAGATAGTTTTTGCCAGGAAAAATAGGCTAAAAAACAGCATTTTTTGTAGAAATGATAATATTTTCAGTACTAGGTTTCATGGTAACTCTTTACAACATATCACGCTTTTGTATTGTTCAAAATTTCCTGGATAAACATTACTAGAATTATTACCTGGGAATGTGTGATTGTAAAATTGGCGCTTGACTCAGCGAAGTAATAAGAACTTCCAAGCATTCTAAAGAAGAAATTGTCAGTTAGATAGTAGTTTGGCATGTATGGAAGCACTAACAATCTTGTAATCTATTTTCCAAATCAATATTGATAGTCCTCTCTTGAATGTTCACCCAAGTCAATAGCCAGTCAGCATTATAGAATTAATGAGATAATAAATTCCTTTTTTCATAAAATTGTCTATGCGAAGTGACATCATTCAGTACAACAATGCATGATGGGAAATGTAGTTCTGATCCTTTTTTTATGTTCGCTAATAATGAATTCCTTTTAAAATTCCTCAAAAAAATACTTAGTTGGATGTTTGTAAAGAAAGCATGAACAGAACAAATGTGTGAGTTCTACATTCTACCTGCACCTTGCTAGACTCCCCGCAGCTGTTTTCTGATGTTGTCTCTTAATTAAGAGATTAAGAGACAACACCGGAAAACGGCTGCGGGGAGTCTAGCACCTTGCCTATTATCACCTATTATTACATTTCCAGTCAACATTATTACTACAGAATATAGTCATGATTGCATAAAAGTTATAACAATGTTACCTTCCTGTAGTTCCTTGTTGTTGAGTTGTGCTAGCAAAGTAAGCTCAGCCCATGCCTTTGGGAGATCTACATGAGTCCCAACACCACCATCTTTAATTCCAGCCCGTCTCTAGAAAGAGTAATTTATAAAAGAAAATGACACATTTGTCTATTGCTTGGATTTTATTTCATGAATAATATCAGCTCAATATAGCCCACTTTTGATTAATCTTGATTGACTATAAACCATGCACAAAAGAATCAAAGACAAGCCTCTAGGAAAGCATTTCGAACAGCTAATTCTTTCCCTGAGCCTTGTCCTCAGTTCTTTTGCCATGAGAATTCAACCAAATTATCGAAAATATTGGAATATTTTAAGCATGCATGCATGCATTTTATCAATTACCTTTGCTCTAGTCAGCATTTTACTAGCAACAGTAATAAGCATATCTTGGTCTTCTACATTGCTGTCATTAAACTGTGATTAAAAATAAAATACAACCTATATTTACCTAATGTATAATAATTGACTTTCTTAGATTTTATTTACTAATAAAACAATATATTGGAATAATTGTACAATCATTTCTTTAACTTACCTTTGATACAAAGTCTTCACTCACTTCATAAAGATTCCTTTGGAAGTGGAGAAATAAAGAAAGAGAAACATCAACAATCGTACTATACCTCAAAATTTAGTTTATAGTTTCTTAAGTCTAACAGCCCCATACAATAGATTGAAGGAAATACCTTTTTCTTGAATAAGTAGATGCTACTCCAGGAGTTTTCGCTTTTCGTTCTAGCCTGTCCTCAAGTTGTATGCGCTGACTTTGGGAAATAATCCCAAACTTGTGTTCAACTTTGACTTTTTCAATTGGCATGATTACAAGAGTATCCTTTCATAAACAGCTAAAAAACAATGACTTAGCTTAACAAGTAAACGTTTCTATGGTAAACTTAATATTTTCATAAAGAGAAAAGGGCAAATTTTGACTACTAGTAAAGCAATCTTCCCGTCCCAAAACAAACTACTCGTCCGCCATTTTATACGTCGCTATAGTAACAACCGAGAGTAGAGTAAGAGACTGGGGACTGCTGGAGCCACTTTGCCTTCTGGGTAAGCTGACCCAGTTTCCTCGCGGTCACGAAGGACGCCATTTTGATTTTTGGAGAAAGTTTTGCAGAGAGCATATTTTAGGTCTTTTTTTAAGCACTATTAACAATTTTCTAATTCTTATTTATTTCATTTGTTATGGCTTTTAAACCGGGTGATCTCATCTGGGCTAAAATGAGAGGCTATCCTCACTGGCCGGCTAGAGTAAGTAGTAGTTTGGATTCATCTGCAGAAGCTATCTTCAGCTGAACTTTAACAACATGGTTGATTCCACAGATTGACCTTCCAGCTGAAAATGAGAAGATCCCGGCTAAAAAGTTTCCCATATTTTTCTTTGGTACTCATGAAACGTAAGCTGTCAATCATATCACTTATTTAACAGTACGTTGTAGACTCACGTCACCGCTGGTAATTTAAAAACTTGTGGTCGACAATACATGAATTAAATCCCTAATGCAGAAGTTGAGAGTAATCACGCTGTCAGTGAGAATGCTGTTTTAGACTTGAGTAACAGTGTTGGTATAAGTTTAAGCTCACTATTCGTCGCGATTGTTCAACAAATACATGATAAGTCATATGGAATATGTCATGCAACAGCTGGTAGTACCTTGACGCCGTGATGTAATTATTATTTCCATGCATATGTAAATTCATACGCAGATTGTACCTAAAAGTCAGCTGCAATAGAAACTCCATGTATTTTTTTAAATTTTTTTCCACTTTAGTGCAGTGATGCAAGGTAGAGACTTATTTGAATATGAAAAATACAAAGCCAAGTATGGAAAGCCCTCAAACAGAAAATTTTTCAATGAAGCCCTGGAGGAAATTATCAAAGACCCTAAAGTACGTTATGGCCAGCGTGGCCAGCCGACGGAAGAGTCTGAATCAGAGGAAAGCTCTGAAGATGAAGAAGAAAGCAAAGAAGAAGAAAAAGATGAGAACGAGACAGAAGGAAATGAAGTCAAACCAAACAAGGTGCTGCACTAATTAAAACAATAGTTCATCATAATGAAGAATATTATTACCGTTGGAATTAAAGTATTAGTAATTGTTACATAATAGTTGTTGAGAAATTTGACACCAAATTATTCTGTTTTTTAACCATTTTTGCAGATTTTCACCTGTCATGATTTATTTGGTGTACAAGTGTTTTTTGGTTGTTTAGAACACTGTCTTTCTAAATGAATACATTAGAGATTAAGAAAAAAAATCTTCATCGTTAATTTTTTATACTTAAGCCTGGGGTAAATGCATGTATTATGTACAATTGTTTGTTTTGGTCCAGATTCAAGGAAAGCGTAAGTCAAGTACAGAAAACAAAATACCAGCGAAGAAGAAGAAAACTGCAAAAGAAGAAGAACCAGAGAGTGAAGTATGCCATCCAATGATTTAAATACAGCAACTTTTTCAGAATTTCCTTTGTTGTGTTAAATTCATTCTCATTGGTAAAGTTCACTTAATTGTAGCAAAGTAAGATAAAGTACTAGAGTGATAGTACACTTTTGAATAATATTCTTTATCATATTAGCCTGAGGTAACAGAATCTGAAGAAAGTTCTGAATCAGAACCAGAGGAATACATCCCGGAAGAAAAAAGCAAGCCAAAGAAAGCAGCATCTGCAAAGAAAACACCATTAAACAAAGCCAAGAAGTCTAAGCAAATTATAAGTAGTGATGAAAGCAGTGAAGAAGACGATGACGAAGACCAAGACGAAAAGAAATCTAAAGGGAAAGAGAAGACTATTGAGGTGTGTACATGTGTATTTCTGTTGTCAATGCCTTGTAGCCTTCTACAAGTATAACATTTTTTTGCCCATCACCAATCAAATGTGAATGCAATGACCAATCTCACTTACATGTACATTGGTTGTAGTACTGAACTAGTTGTGGGTGGCAAGGGTGGTCTAGTGGTTAAGCAACTGGCCTCTCACCGCTGTGGTCCGGGTTCGATTCCTGGGCACGGACCATATGTGAGTTTGAGTTTGTTTGATGTGTTGTTCTCTCCCTTGCCACGAGGGTTTTTCTCCGGGTCCTCCGGTTTTCCTCCCTCAGTAAAAATCAACATGTGAGGAGTGTTGTGTGCTAAAATAATTAATGTAGAGGTAGTGAGTGTGAGTGTGAGGGCCACAAGTTCATCAGTTCTTTACTGTCACGTGTTACCCTCGTAAAATAAAGTCGATTTATTTATTTATTTATTTATTTATTT